AATAAGTATCATCGTGCAAAACAACCCTGTAAAAGCAACCACCGGCTGAGGCAGTGGGTAGACCACACCCACGCTCACTGTAACGCCAGCCTCCAGGCAGCAGTCACTGAACAGGGAGGCGGGAGGCCCCACTGGCGGGCTTCTCACGCTGCCGGGCCCGGTAAACAGCACCAAGGGCCGGCTGGAGCTTCCGCTGCATCCGTGTAGCTAATGCTGGTCTTCTTCATAGCAAGCAAAGGAAGCCAACGTGAAACACAGCTTTAAGGGCCCAACGAGAACTGTCTGGGGCCTTAGCGATGAACCTCTCTATCTAAAGATCCCCTCTCCTGCTTTGATAGAAGCAAATACATAGCAAACCTTGATGGGCTGCAGCCAGAGGAGACATCCCCCTTTGTTGGCGTGCACGGTGACTGCCCACCTACCCGTGGGCTCAGCACACCCAAGTCGGGCTGTTGCCGTAGGTGGAGCAGGGCAGGATCGGGCCCACCCCAACCCAGGAAAGTCAGGCCAGCATCAGGTGGTCAGGTGGCTGTTGAAACTGTCTCTCTAAAAGAACTGGTAGCAGCCAGCGCCAGAGAGAGGCAGCTCCCAATAGCTAGAGAAAACACGAAACCGGTAGCGTGTGCACTGAGAGGCAAAATGGCGAGCGTGTAACTGGTCTATGACCTTCAGGGACGTTTGACAGGCAAGGGAAAACTCCAGGTGAGCACAGGCACTACTCCAGCGAACACACGGCCCATGCTCCCTTCCGCAAGGCCTTGCAGCACACATTCTCCCTCCCGCAGAGACACACCGGCGCATGCTCCTCCCTCCGAGTGAACACATCACGCATGCTCCTTCCGCAGGGTTTCCCCACACCCAGCGCATGCTCCCTCCCTGCAGGGACCACACCGCGCATGCTCCCTCCCTCCAGGGAACACATGGCGCATGCTCCCTCCCTCCAGGGAACACACCTTGCATGCTCCTCAGTGACCACACGGCGCATGCTCCCTCCCTCCCAGTGACCACCACGGCTGTGATCCCTCCTCCAGTGACCACACGGGGCATGCTCCCTCCCTCCGGTGACCACACAGGCGCATGCTCCCTCCCTCCCCGGTGACCACACCGCGCATGCTCCCTCACTCCGGTGACCACACACCGCGCATGCTCCCTCCCTCCGGTGACCACACCGCGCATGCTCCCTCCCTCCCGGTTACCACAGGTTGTGCTCCCTCTCTCCATTGAGAACACACCGCGCATGCTCCTTCCCTCCAGGGACCACACCGTGCATGCTCCCTCCCTCTAGTGAACGCACCATGCATGCTCCCTCCCTCCAGGGAACACACAGCACATGCTCTCCCACGTGCAGCAGGTTGCTGGGTGAACAGCCCACCCTGAGGAAGGATCAGGGGAAGAAGGGCGCAAGACCCCAGACGCCTGCCAGCGTATAAAACCCCAAGTCAAAAGGTGAAACCGCGCACCTGATCTCTCACAGAGCCAGCCTGGCCCTCTTCCAAAGGGTGCTTCTTTTCATTCCTGCTCTAAAGCTTCAACTTTCACTCCTGCTCTAAAACTTGCCTCAGTCTCTCCTTCTGCCTCACATGTCCTTCCACTGAATTTTTCTTCTGAAGCGTGAGATTTGAGCCGCCGCTCATACTTTGGTGCATGACTCAGATACATTCTGCAGGTAGCAGAGCTCTGCGAGGCTCACCTGAGCTCCATGCTCCATCTCAGCACATGCAATCCTCAGCTGGAGTGGTGAGAAGAGGTGGCTCTTTCTTTTCTTTGTGAAACAGGCTGGAGTGCATCGTTGTGATCTCGGCTCACTGCAGTCTCACCTCCGGGGCTCAAGTGATCCTCTGCCTCCAGTCCTCGAGTAGCTGGGACTGTTAGTGTAGAACATATCCCACTTCTGACACCAAAGCACGTTAGCAGCAGTGAATCTCAGTTCTTCCCTCCCTCCGAAGAAAGAATTTGGCTGGCAGGAGGCAGAAGGAACCCAGGCAGTTTTTACAACAGGAGCAAGAAGTTTATGAGAAGAAGCTTTAGAGCAGAATGAAGGGAAATAAAGCACCCTTGGAAGAGGGCCAGGCAAGACCTAGATCAAGTGTGTGGTGCGACCTTTGACTCAGGTCTTCTACTGGCAGCTTTTCGGGTGTGTTCTCCCAGTTCTTCCCTCCGGGAGTAAGCCATCCTCACAGCTGCGGCACTTGGAATGAAGTATGCAGAGTTTACTGGGTTGTGCCACGCTCCTCCTAGGCCTTCTTTTTTTTTTGAGGCTGGTCTCGCTCTGTCACCCAGACTGCAGTGCAATGGCGCGATCTCGGCTCTGCAATCTCCCCCTCCCGGGTTCAAAACGATTCCCTCCTGCCTTAGTCTCCCGGTAGCTACGGGACTACGGGGCGCAGGCCACCCACGCCCAGCTAATTTTGTATTTTTATTAGAGATGGGGTTTCACCATATTGGCCAGACTGGTCTCGAACTCCTCGCCTTGTGACCACGCCCACCGTCCCCTCCCCCCCCGTCTCCCAAAGTGCTGGGATTACAGGTGTGAGCCACCCTCCATCCCCACCTCCGTCCCTGTCTCCTTCCCTCCACCCCACTCCTCTCGGTCCTGCTCCTTCCCTTCACCCCGCTCTCCGTCAGGTGAGGCTGCCAGGGCTGGGCTGAGAGTAGCCTTGGGCTGTCCAGTCCCTCCCTTTCTCCCCAGGACCAGGTGACCCTCCCAGCCCCAGGACACTTCTTGGGCCAGGGCCCAGGGCAGAGCCGATGCTCCCCCAGGCGCTCCCTGGCTGCAAACCTCAGGCTAGGGGTTTTCAGGGACAGGGAGGCAGGTGTCTAAAGACACAGCCCTCCAGGCAGCCGACGTTTCTGCCTGGGTGGAGGGCACGGTTACGAGCAGGGGCAGCGCTCTGGCGTCCTAATGCCCAGGCCCTCTGCCCCTCAAGGCCCGTCCTGCCCAGCTCAGCCCTCTCTGGCCGGGCCCATCACCGTCAGCAAACATGCCCCCACTGCTGGCCCCTCCAAAGAGCCACCCACTGTTGCCCCCTAATGGCCCATGGCAGCCCTCCCGGGGCCGCGTCCACAGCCCCATACAGCCCGGCCGGCCCAGGGAAACGCACGTCCGCACTCTGTCCCACCTCAGGTCCGAGCTGGGGGGTCGGGGGCCGCAGGTCCCACCTGCACAGCTTGTGTTCAGGGAATGGGCCTGTGGCAGAAAATGTGCGGGGGTGGGGGCACCCTGTGCTCGTAGCTCTCAGGGCCCCAACCAGGCAGCAGGTGGGGGCTCAACTCTCCTCCACCCCCGTCCCGCCTCCTGGCCCCCAGCACACGGTGGTGAGTGCGTGGCCCAGCCTGTTGGGGGTTTGCTCCCCGACCTGCACTTAGAGAACAGAGGATCCTACGGGAGAGGGCAGCTCGGAACGCTGACTTTATATCAGCACCCAGTGCCCCCACGTTCCCACTGGCCCAGGTCCCGGGGACCACGGCAACACCCACGGGGGACTTCACAGAGGAGCGTGGGGGCCCCGAAGGCCAGGCCACCCCTCGGATGGGGGCCCGACGCTGAAGCAGACAGTGCATCTGAGACCACAGTGGAGCCCGAGCCTGGTGTGCAGGGGGCGGCCACAAAGGAGCCTTTCTCCCAGGAACCCCGGGAGGGACCCCGGGACTCAGACAGCGCCAGGGCCGCCTGGCAGGTCCAGCGAGGCAGTGACTTGTGGGGGTTAGATGTGGGGTGCCCCGCGTGGGCAGGGATCAGCCAGACCCGGGGCCCAGGCGCGGGGTCCAGGCCCGGGGGTCCAGGCACGGGGCCCAGGGGGTCCGAGCGGGGGCCGCAGAGCTCTGGAGGACTTTCCTGCATGTGAATTTCTGCTTCAATACAGAAAGAGATCAAGAGGAAGCTATCCTGCAGCCCCAGAAATGGCTGGCTGTGTGCCTGGGGTCTCTGCCACACGGGAGGACAGCCCAGAGGCGCCCCGGTCTCAGGCAGCTGGTTCCCAGGCTGCGTCCTCCCCACTGGCCCGGCATCGGCTGCAATGGCACGAGGACAAGCCTCACTGTTCTCAGGGGTCTTGGTGCGGTGGTGCTGGAGGAGTCCTGCCCATCGTGGGCTCCGGAGGGCATGGGGCTCCAGAGGGCATCGCAGCAGAGCCCCTGGCTTCTCTAGGCAGAGTGGTGCCTGCCCCGTAGACCACACCAGCTTTGGCTGCCTGAGCCAGGCCTACATCTGGGCTGTAGGCGCTGGGGCCTCACTGTGTTTCCTGGGGGGGCCCGGACCCCCCACGGCCTTGATCTGATGATGCTCTGAGGTCTCACGGATGCCTGCTCCTGGTCCCATCAAACAGACGGCTGTGGTGGGAAGGAGCCTCAGGCGGCCCGGGACCCCTCGGTGTCTGTGGCTGGGAGACAGAGGGACTCAGAGCCAGGGCTGTGCCCAGGCCTGTCCCGGGCGCTGGGCGATGCCAACCCTTTGTGCCGGGTTCCCGCCAAGGGGTCAGCCTCCGGGTCCCTGCTGCCAAGCGCATGGTGTGGTCTCGGCCTCCAGGTCAGACATTGCTGATACGGGCCTCCGCCGAGGAGAAGGCAGCGGGGTCCATGGCCCTGTCCAGGGGCCGCTCCCGCCTGACGTAGCGCGGCTTCCGTACTGAAATGGGTCAGAGACAGGCAGGGTCAGAGTGGGACCTGGACAGCAGGGACAGTGCAGGCCTCAGCCCCTACCGGAGGCTCTCGGGAGCAGGCATGGCACAGGCATCCGGGGCTGTTTACTCTGACCAGATGGGAACCCAGATGCCCCCTGCCCCGAAGGTGCCCTCAGAGCTCCGGCTCAGGAAAGGGACGGCTTCCTCCTGCCCTGCTGCATCCTCTCATTCACACCCTGGGCCCCGGGGCCGGGACGAGGGCCAGGCTATCCCTGAAGACAAAGACGTGGGTCATAGAGCACCATGTACCTCGGGGCGACAAGCAGGCCCTAGCCCCGAGACCTCAAATGTGACCTTATTTAGAAGGGGCTTTGCAAGGGGTTAACGTCAGGGTCTCAGGCGTGATCGCCCAGGGTTCCTGGGGCAGACCCTGAATCAATGGCCAGTGCCCACCTGAGAGGGAGGCGGAGAGAGAAGACGCAGAGGTGGGGGAGACACCGTGGGACCAGGGGGCAGAGACGGGCAACGCAGCCAGATGCCTGAGCCGGCAGGGGCTGGGGAGGCGGGCAGGGTCCTCCCCTAGAGCCTCGGGAAGCACGTGGCCTCGCCTGCCCCTTGGTTTTGGACTCTGAACTCTAGGACAGTCAGATTAAAGGTCTGCTGTTGAAGCTGGCAGGCTGGGGCACTTGGGCACCGTGTGGTTTGCTGGGCCCTTGCAGACACGGCTGCTTTAGGGACGGGCAGGTCCAGCCTTGATGGAGAACTGTCTGTCCCCTAAGGCACTGTCACCTGCCCCCATGAAAGACCTCTGCACAGGGGGATGGAGGCTGGGTGAGCCCTGCTCATGGCCTTGGAGCTGTGTGGCTGTGGGCCAGTCACTCAGCTTCTCTGTGTCTGTGGCCCCGCCTATAAAATGGGTCCTAACCAGGCTGACCCTTGGGTCCACCTGACCCAGCGCCACTGAAGCGACGGCTGCTCAGGAGGGCCTGGCGGAGGCCGGCTGCATCCGTCCTTGGGCGGAGCTGGACTTGAAGGAGGGGCAGGCATTGGGGGTCTGCCCTGTGGTGGGTCCTCCTTTCCTGCAGACCCCACGTCTCAGGAACAGGAAAGGGCACGGAAGTCCTGGGGATCAAAGGGGGCGGACAGGGTGTGTTGGCCAAATCTGGCTGAGATCCAGAGCAGGGGGTGCCAGCCAAATCCGGCCCTGGCCCAGCCTCGTGGGTCTCCTGGGGACCTGGGCAGGGGCGGCCGAGATCCAGAGCCAGGCAAATCCATTTGTTTGGGGACACACCCACGAGCACCCTGGGTCTGGCCCAGAGATGGGAAACCCCACAGGAAGATGCTGTTACCTGAGGACTGTGGCGGGGGGATCATTGCAGCCTTGAAAAGGAGAGAAAGGCAGAGTGAGGACTTGGGATGGCCCGGCACAGGCACACGCGGCCGGGGACGCTCAGCCCGGATGACACGGGTTACTTACGGCTTCGCCAGGCTGCAGGGCCGGGGCTGTGGGGAAGAAAGCGGACTGTCATCCTGGAGCCGAGGAGCTGCCTCAGCATCAGCCCAGCGCGGAGTCCGCGGAGCAGCAGAGGCGCCGGGGCTGTGGGGTCAGGCTGGTCTCACCCCACCTCTCCCTGCAGTGCGTCAGCCTGGCCCTTGGCCCTACCACATTCCTCCAGGGAACTCAGAGGTGCGGGGGCCTCCCTAGCACCCCAGGCGAGTCCCCTCTCCCCAGACCCACCTTCCCACCTCAGCAGAGGGGACGAGTCACCCTCATGAGAAGCATTTCCCTAGGCTCCAGGGTCCCAGAGGAAGGGCTGCCCTCCCACCCTCCCAGGACGAGCCTCAGGCACGAGGTGGCTTTGAGCCCCAGGGCCGTGGGCTTCTGCCTCCATGGTGCCCCCATGGCGGGGGTGCTGTGGCACTGTGGTCAACCTGGTTTCTCCTTGTCCTGTGGCCACCAGGGCTGACCAAGCCCTGAGCCCTGCCCTGCTCCGAGGGTGCCCACAGGCAGAGATGCTGAGCAGGCCGGGGCCTCTCGGTGCCTGGCTGTGCAGCAGCCCCTGGCAGCGGGCTCCTAACTGGAGGCTGAACCCTGGGACCCCAAGAGAGGTGGAAAGGGGTGGACAGGGGTCTCACAGCAGCCAGACGGGGCTGCCCACAGACCTGGGAGGAGGCCCCAGCTCAGTATGACAGTCTGGCCAAGTGCTCACCTCGGGGTCCGATCTGCCGGCTGGACCATCTGCCTGGCAGAGACCCCGCGAGGGCCGGCCTGGGACAATGAGGGCAGGTACCATGGACCCTGCTCAGAACTCGCCCCCACCTGAAGGCACCACAGTCACCACAAGGTCTCTCGGTGGGAGGGGTCAGTGCCCAGGCCTGCGGTGACCATGTGTACAGCATGGTGTAGGCTGGGGTGTGGGCCCTGCACCAGCCTGGCCGGCCCTGACCCCAGGAGAGGGGAGGGAGGGGCCGTGGCTGCCAGAGGAGTCCCAGCAAGTCCAAGCTGCCGAGAGCCACCTGGCCCCGCTCCACTCGCCCCTTGTCATGCCCTGAGGGCCCCGGGGAGCCACCTCTGCCGGAAGAGGGCTCCAGCGGAGGCTCTGGGCCCGAGGAAGGCCCCTTGGTGTTTCGACCCTCAAATCCACACACAGCCGTTTCCGGGAAGTGACGGCTCTTCTCACAACTGGACCCAAAAGCCACGTGGCAGACCCTGGGGCGCCCCATCCCCACAGCTGGGTCCCACCTGCCTGTGTCCTCCCGTGGGGCACGCGCTGTACCAGGAGATACCTTTGCTTCTTCTGTAGAAGACCCTGGGGAGTTTACTGGAGCGCTTGAGGTAGAAAAACCCTGCTACGGAGAGGATGAGTCCGGAGCTGATGAAGAAGGTGCCCAGGAAGAGGGAGGCGGCCACGCGCGGAGCCCCTGCAGACAGACACCGCTGAGCGGGCAGGAAGGACGGTGGCCCTGGCTCCTTGCCTCCTCGCCTGGCCCCCGGAGCCACCAGCGCACGGCAGACTCGCTGCTCCCTGAACACGCCTGAGTCTCACGGGCCGGCTGTGGGTGCCGAGGGCTCTGCACTTGGCCTTGGGTCATCCCTGCAGGCTCAGCCATGCCTGGACATCTGGCTGCAGGGTCTGGGAAAGTTAGCACCTGCCCCGGCCTCAGCTTCTGGCAGGAGCTCAGATGTTGGGAGCGTTACAGGATCTGGCCCTGGCCAGGCTCTGCAGAGACGCCACCCCGATTCCAGTTGCCCCTGAAAGTCAGGGGATTCTCAGCCTTGTTCCTTCCTTGGGAATCAGCACAGGCCCTGGGGCCCCCACACAGGGCAGAGGCTCAAGCTGGCAGCAGATGCTCCTGCTCCCCACTCACCTCCACCTGCCTGGGCCAGGACCTCCCCACTCACCTCCACCTGCCTGGGCCAGGACCTCCCCACTCACCTCCACCTGCCTGGGCCAGGATGAGCCGGGGCTGCTGGCCTGGGGCTCAGGAAAGTTGGCGATGGCTGCTGGGTGTGCTCTGAGATGCTGGGGAGGGGACTTCCCAACCCGGAGACACAGGTGTGTTCACCAGGCTTGGGGGCCTTGCTCCTTCCGACCCTGGCACAGAGCCACAGGAGGCCAGGAGCCCATCTAGGCCAACTCTACCCTAAAACACGCCACTCAGGTCAGCAATGGACCCAGCTCAGGGCCCGGGTCCATGCTCTAAAGACATGAGGGTGTTGCCGTCTCAGAACACAGCAGTCAGCCCCGGCCCCAGGTCCAGCATGTCCTCCTCTGCTGAAGATGAGGGTCTGCAAGCCACGCCCACATCTCAGGTGGGTTCAGAGGCCCAGGAGATGAGTCCGTCTGGGAGACGGGCCCTGTGTCCTCCTGAGGATCAGGTGTCGATGGCCCCAGGACCAGGCAGTGTGGCAGCTATTCCTGTCCGGCCTGCGTGTCTGCGTCTCCTGGGGCCACACACCCTGGAAGAGCTGCTAGGCATGGTTAGCAGAGACCTCAGAGCACCTGCTCCTCCTGGTTCCTGGGACTGTGACCACAGGCTGGGGTGGGTTTGGGGCGAAGCAGAGGCAGGACCAAGCTGTGAGCATGCCCCTGAGAGTATGTGTGGTGTGGCCATGTGAACCTGAGAGCATCCGGTGTGTCCATGAGCCGTGAGTGTGAACCTGAGAGTGTGTGGTGTGGCCATGAGCTGTGAGCGTGAGCATGTGCAGTGTGAACCTGAGAGCATGCAGTGTGTCTGTGAGCCGTGAGCGTGAACCTGAGCATGTGCGGTGTGGCCGTGAGCGTGAACCTGAGCATGTGCGGTGTGGCTGTGACTGTGAACCTGAGAGTGCATGGTGTGGCCGTGAGCCATGAGTGTGAACCTGATCTATTTATACCCTATGGGTCGTGCTGGCCCAGGGTGTGGCCACAAGCCTCAGGGATTGGCTGGCTTCCTCCTCTCCTTGGCAGGCCAGGCAGCTGAGGGCAGGGAGTAAGTGAGGCCGGAGCCAGGTGGGGTCAGCACACCCGCTGCTGTCTGGGCGGGTCTGGGCTGGTGTGTGCGTGACCAAGCCCCCGTCTCCTGTAGCCCCAGGAGGCTGAAGCAACCGCCGGAAGCTGCTCCGCTCGGGTTCCAGGTCCCCTGTGGCCCCCGAGCTCCTGGGTGGGCCCAGCAGGGCCCTCCTGAGCCCCCCCACAACCTATGCCCAGCCTGCCCCTGCCCTTTGCTCATGGCTGCCTGACCTCACAGCCCATTCCTGCCACTTCCCTGCCCACACCCACCCATGTGCTCACCTGCCTCACCCACACACAAATGTAGCTGTTCTCACACATGGGCTGTGTCGGTCGCTGTCACACACATGCCCTCGTGTCCACACACCTCATCCTGTCCACGCCTCATGCTGTGTCCAATCACACATGCCATGTCCATACGCCTGCGCGTCTACATCAGCTCACAGTTGCTGGTGTCCACACTACACACGCTTATGTCCACATGTTCGTCAGCTAATACGTGCCGTGTCCACGCGCCACACTTGTGCCGTGGTCCAGACGCCACATGCTGTGTCCACGCTTCACATGTGCTGTCCACATTCACATGCCATGTTCAGATGCTCACACATGCCGTGGTCCACACGCTCACACATGCCGTGTTCACATGCTCTCACACGCCTGCGGTCCACACGCTCTCACATGCCATGTCCAGATGCTCTCACATGCCATGTCCACACATTCACACACATGCCGTGTCCACATGCCCCAGCAGACTACAGAACTTGGTCTGTGCAAAGACCAGGGCTGGGAGCTGGAGGAGCCGGGGGCTACGGAGAGTGAGGCCCAGAGGAGCAGCCAGTGGCATGGGCTGCCCCCACCCCCGCAGACACTCTGCTGCTTGCCCGAGGGCCTGGTATAGAGCTGCACCCCCAGGCTGTCCAGCTGCTGGCTCCCCCACCCTCACTGGAGGTGTCTCTCCCAGCCCAGTGAACCTCATGCAAGGGCAGGTCTGACTGGGGTGCCACAGCCCCATCCCCCCCGCCGTGAGGCCACCTGGGCTGGACTCGAGCTGGGACCCCACACATCAGCCTGGGGTGTCACACTGGGTGGGGCTGGGATGAGGGGCCCACCCAGTGGGAGAGCTGGCCAGGCCACCCCAGGCTGCCCTCAGGCACTCCCTTCCCGCAGGTGCCCACTGACTTCAGTAACCAGAGGCTCCCCCAGTGCTGCCATGAGCATCCTGGAGCCCAAGGGATGCTGGGAAGTGAATCAGGACTGCAGAGGCTCGGGCAATGCCCGTGGAGGAGGAGGATGGGGCTTGGGCTCAGGAGAAGGGCGGACCCTGCCAGTCTCCATGAGGACTCTCAGTGGGGGCTGGGGGCTCAGCAGGGTTTGAGCCAGAGCAGGAGGGGTGACGTTCAGACAGGGGTGAGGCTGGAACCCTTGTGCATGGGGTTCAGAGAGAGGCTGGGGGTTCAGAGGGGGAGGGATGGGAGCTCTGGGTGAGGGTCCAGGGTGGCGGAGGCTATGGGGACTTCCGTGTGGGAGCCACTGTGCAGGCCCAGCCCAGAAAGCTGCTGAGGCTCCTGCTCGGAGGGCCGTGACTGGGTCACATGCCGCCTCCAGGAAGCGGCCCCCGCCCCTGCAGCTCTGGGAACGTCCCGACAGCTCCTGGGAATATCTGGGCACTGGAGGTCACTCTGGGCTCCCTGGCTGACACTGTGCTGGCGGCAAAGGTGAGGGAAGGCCGGAGGAATGTGTGGTCTCAGGGCCAGGCCAGGCCTCCCTGTGTAGGAGAGGAGCCAGCAGCTCCACTCCTCCCAGCCCAGACCAGGCCGGGGTCGGGGTGCTGGCCTCGGGGTTCGGGATGCAGCGGAGCAGCTTGGCTGGCCGTGTCCAGGGCATGGGGTGGGCCCGCCTGGTCCCCTCCATCGCAGGCAGTGGGCAGGCAGCTGGGTGAGTCAGGCGTGTGTGTGATCACACGTGCGCATGCTTGAGACATGCATGCTGGCGTGAGCGCCTGACCCCTCACCTCCCCACTTTCGGTCTCCTCACACCCCTCTCAGGGACTCCTTCTCCAGGTCCTGGATTACAGGTCAGACCCGGCACTGCCAGGCCTCGGACGCGGCGTGGCTGGCGGGGAGTGGGCCTTCCGGGTCTGGGCTGCTCTGGGGCCCCCAGCCTCACTCCCATCCCACCATGCTGGGCCATTGGCTCAAATGCAGCAGCTCTGTTGGTTCTGGGGCTGGACTTCTCTCCCAGGGGCCCAGATGTGCAGAGGGGAGGCCGGTGTAGGATCTGGGACGTGCTGGGGCCAACCTCAGGCCCAGCCAGTAAGTCCCTCCTACCTAGTGAGGAGGGTGCGCTCCTCGCTGCCACAGGTCCTTTGCTGACCGCTAAGTACACCCACCAGGGGCCAATCACAAGCAAGAGGTGAGGGACGTGGGAGCCAGCTGAGGGGGATATATGGAGGTGCAGGAGGACTTCTGGGGTTTTGGTTTAGCCACTCGGTGGGAGAGAGGAAGGGGACCTAGAATTGAGAGAGATGGGGCCTGGGGGCTACTCAGAGGGGCCGGGACGGTGCCTGTGTCTGGCCGGGCCTCCAGAGCCCACTCAGCTGAACCTGCTGTCCGTGCCTGTTTCCGATTTTATCCTCTTAAACCAGACGCTCCAGCCTGGAGCAAATGCAGGAGTGGAGTTTCCATGGGCGTGGACTCCTTCCTCCACCCCGCTCCTAGTCCAGCTCCTTCCTCTTGGCCTGCCTTCGTCCTGGGTCCTGCTCCTTTCCTCCACCTGCTCTTGGTCTGGCTCCTTCCTCCACCCCCACCTCCGCCCCTGTCTCCCCTCCACCCCCCACCTCCGCCGTCCCTGTGTCCTTCCCTCCACCCCACTCCTCCCAGTCTGGCTCCTTCCTCCACCCCCGCTTCTCGGTCCTCGGTCCCGCTCCTTCCCTCCATCCCTACCTCCGTCTCCCTGTCTCCCTTCCTCCACCCCACTCCTTTGGTCCCGCCTTTTCCCACCCTCCTGCTCAGTCTCAGCCCTTCTCCACCCTGCTCTCGGTCCGGCCTTCCTCATCCCAACTTCCGTCCCTGTCTCCTTCCTCCACCCCAGTCCTCTCAGTCTGGCCTTCCCCTTCACTCCCTACCTCCATCCCTGTCTCCTTCCCTCACACCCTGCTCTCCGTCTGGCTCCTTCCCTCCCATCTCACCTCCGTCCCTGTCTCCCTTCCCTCCACCCCACTCCCCGGGTCCTGCCTCCTTCACCCCGCCTCCGTCAGGTGAGGCTGCCAGGGCTGGGCTGAGAGTAGCCTTGGGCTGTCCAGTCCCTCCCTTTCTCCCCAGGACCAGGTGACCTCCCAGCCCCAGGACACTTCTCTGGGCCAGGGCCCAGGGCAGAGCCGATGCTCCCAGGCGCCCCTGGCTGCAAACCTCAGGCTAGGGGTTTCTAGGA